AGGATATCTTTCTCATTTTTTCTTCAGTTTCTTCCATTAACGTTTTACAGTTTTCAGTGTGCAGGTTTCCCACTTCCTTAGTAAAATGTATTCCCAAGCATTTTATTTTATTTTTTGGTAGTCATTGTGAATGGGATTGTTTTCTTGTTTATCTTTTTAGAATGTTTGTTGTAAGTGTACAGAAGAGCTACTTATGTTATATTTAATTATTTACTCTGTAACAACTGAATTAGTTCATTCATTCTAACAGTTTTTGGTGGGTTATTTAGGGATATATTACATGTATAAAGTTATACTATCTGTAACACGGACAATTTAACTTGTTCCTTCTCAATTCAGACAGCTTTTGTTCTTTTTCTTGCCTAATTTCCCTGACTTGGACTTCCAGCACTTTGTTGAATAGAATTGTTGAGAATGGGCATCCTTTTCTTGTTTCTGATCTTATGGGAAAAGCTTTTAACTTTTCATTGTTGAGTATATTAGCTATGGGTGTGTCATAGTATCTATTAGCTGTGGGTGTGTTATAGTATATATTTCTTAAAGATTATTATAGTTATCATATTTTTAATAATTTGAAATTTTACCTTATAGTAAAGATATTAATGATTTATACACCATCTTTCAGTATTAGGTTTCTTTGAACTTGACTGTGTGCTGACTTTTTCCAGTGAGTTTTATAATTTCATTTGTTTTCATGTTACTGATTGCAAGCTTTACCTTTCAGTTTCATGAACTTTCTTTAGAATTGCTTGTAAGATAGGTCTGGTGGTGATGAAATTCATCAACTTTTGTTTATCTAGGAATGTCTATCTCTCATTCAGTTCTGAAGAATAGTTTTGCTGAATACAGTATTCTTGGCAGGTTTTTCATTTTGTCCTTCAGCACTTTGAACTTATTGCCTCACTGTTTTCTGGACTGTCTGCTGCTAGCCTTATTGAAGCACCCGTATTTGTACATTTTGACCTCTGTTTTTGCAGATTGCACATTTGTGGATTCAACCAATGGCATTTCAGAAGTATTCAAAATTATGTCTGAACTGAACACGTATAGACATTTTTCCTGTTAGCAGACCATTCTCTAAACCAGTATAGTATAATAATGATTTGCATAACACTTACATTGTACTAGATACTATAAAATAGAGTTGATTTAAAGTGTATGAGAGAATGTAGATAGTATCTGTGCAAATACTACCTCATTTTATAGGAAAGACTGGAGCACTCATGAATCTTGATATCTGTGAGACTTCCTGGAACCAGTACCCCATGGGTACCAAGTGTTATGACTGTGTCTAAATATCTGCCCAAAGCTGCATGCAGTAGTAGGTGGGGCTTATTGGAGGTGGCTGGATCTAGAGTGTGTGGTGTTGGGATAAAGAATGTGATGCTGGGATTAAAGATGTGAGTGCTACCCACTCTAATGGCAGGTAGCCTGGATAAAGTGTTAAGAGTCAGAAAGAGAGCTGCTGTTGTCATTGCTTGTTGCTTTTCACTTGCTACTTTGCTGCCTTCCTGGCTTCTGCCTACCATTAGCTGTTTCTCCTCTGTGATGCCACTCTGTCATGCCTCCCTGCTTTGGATCCAATCTACTATAGACTGAAACCTCTACAAGCTGTGAGCTGAAATAACCTTTTCTCCTTTAAATTTGGGTGTTAGGTGTTTTGTCTCAGCAGTGAAGAAAAGTAGTTATGACACCAAGATATGACTGGAAATTTTTTTCCTTTCTACTTTCAGTTCTTCTCATTGTAGTTGATTTTTGAATTCCTGGTTTCATTAAATTTTCTTTGCATATTTTGAAGTTCACTGAGCTTCCTTTAACTCTTTATCAGGCAGTTCATGTATGTCCACTTTGAGTATGCACTACTAGGAGATTATTGTCTTCTTTTGGTGGTATTATACTTCTTTAGTTTTCCATGTTTACTATTCCCTTACATTGATGGCTGTGCATTTGGAGAAGTAGGGTCTGAATCCAGTCTTTCAGACTGGCTTTATCTGAGAAAACCTTTCATTGGTTAGCCTATTCATAGACTCTTGGTAAGTTATCTGACATAAGTAGGCTTGCTGTTGGATTGCTTTGGCAGTCTGGGCTTGTGCCTGGTCTCACAATACAGGGCATGGATCCTGGATTCACTAGAATTGATAAATTGATTGAGTCCATAGTCATGGGCCTGGAGCTTGTATCTCTAGGGGGCCAGTTCAAAGTGTGGGTCCACAGGGGCTGAGCTTTTGCTGAAGTGGGCTCTGAACCTGCACTGGAAGCAGACAGCCAGGTGCTGGAATGGGTTAGGTACCTAGCTCAGTAGGATAGGTCTGGAGCCTGAGTCCATGGGGTAGGGATTGGGTCTTGGTCTTGCAGTAATGAGCACAGTGGTGCTTTGGTTTGTAGTGGCTGGTCTGGCATTGATATCTTCTGGGACAGACCTGGACTTCGGGTCTCTGAAATAGGATTATAGAGACTAGCCTTAAGGGTGAAGTTGCAGGGTCCCACCTGGCACTGGATAAGCCTGTATTCTATTTCCATAGGTGCTACCTTAGTGCTTGAGGCCAGGGCTGCTGACCAGGCACTGGGACAGACCTGAAGCCTGGGGCTCTGTGTATTGACCTGGCTCTAGGCTGCTCTGCAACCTTGGAAAGGTCTGGAACCTGCATCCACTGGGCCAACATGGAGGCTGGACTCATGGTGATGAAGATAAGGAGTCTTAGGGCTGGCCTGAGTCTTGAGAAGAGGGCAGAGCTAGAGCTGTGGAGCTGTTGTGTTGCCGGGGTCTTTCAGGAGCCCAGGGCCACTGGTGCCTCCTCTGGGGCACTTCTGGAGCTGGAGAGGCAGGCACAAAGCACACTGGAGCCTAGGACTGCAGGGTGGACTGGCACTGGCCTGGAGACCTATTCTTCTGGGCAGACCTGGAACATGGAACTGCAGGATCCCATCTATAGCAGGGGTGGACTTAGAGGCTCTATCCACGAGTGCTGGCCTGGAGCATGGACCACAGAACTGGCCTGGAAGTGGGTCAACCCAGAGGCTCAGTCTGGGGATAGTGCCCCAGAGTTTGGGCCATGAGTCCCTGCCTAGCACTGGGCTTGACCTAGGTGGGGACATTGTTGGGGTCCAAGGCAAAGTCCAGGGTTCACTTCACTCTCTTTTCCCCAATTAGAGGGCATCTCTGTCCACACAGTACTGCCTGGGGTTGGGAGAGAGGTGATGGAGTAACATAAAACTGGCCTTTCTGCCCTCTTCAAAACATCTTTTCTTGTTCCTGTGCAGCACCCGGGCACTGTAATTTGTCACCTAGTTTCATTGATGGTTCTATGGGGGAAGTCCTATTTCATCCTGTACTGAGTTCTCCCCACACAATTTTTCTTAATATTGCTAATGGCTCTTTACAACTTTGTAACTGGTTTTGCTGTATAATAAATCTTCTTGGTGTGCTAAGATGTACACTAATAGAGAATGATAGTATATGGCAGACTCTTCATGTAGGGAGACAAGAAGGTAAAAGAAATTTTATGCATTCACCAGATATTAATTATACAGCTGCTCTGTGTAAAGCACACAGTAAATGCATATTTACCAAGGACATTAAGGTTTCAGAATGATCTAGATATTGTGTGAGGTTGATTGGAATGTCCTTTATTTGAGTGAACATCATTATTGAAACCTTGTATGAAAAGTTTTCCTGGGAGAAATAAATCCATTGCTTGAATTTGAGAAAAGTGGTCTTGATTTAGTAGAGACAAATTGGAAAGAACATTTTCTAAGGAGAAGGATGATAAAGCATAGCAAAATAGTTTATAAAGGGTTAATTCAGGTATTCATTTATAGAATAGACTACTCAATAAACTGAATTTTCCTAGCATATTGTATTTGATGCCTTGAGAAATGTGAAGACTTAGAGGGTAATGTTGGGGATGTGCTGCTTTTGGACATATTTAAAGATGAAGTCTAGGAAGTCAAGTGGACAACATCTAATGATTAGAAGTTGATTTTAAACACTCTCTTATGCTTAGATCAATCTATTGGAGTGGCAGTGTTTTCCTCTTCCATTAGTTTATTAGATCATTTAATTAGGATCACAATTATAAATAGAGTAATGAAGGCCAATGGATCTCCTCCTGGTTCCCACTACAGTGCCTGGAATACAACATACGCTCAGTGAGAAAGTGAGGTTTGGATGATGAAGTCCAGAGCACATTCACTTCTCCCTTCCCTGAGGGTTTGCTCGCATACTCATTGCTGACCATTGATTCCTTTTCCACTGAGTAATTACTATGCTTGATATTTTCAGATCTTGCTCTTTCTTTATCAACTCATAGAAACTCAGAAATTTTCCAGTAAAGAAACATTCCATCTGAAAAGTGTCAAACAAGACAGTAAAGTCTGCATAATGGAAAACAAATGATGCACAGGAATTGCATGCAATGACTCAGAATGAAAAGAAGAATTGACAGTTTTAACCTGCTCCTGCCTCTTTAAATGTTTTGGCATGTGAGAATCAGAGAGCCACACAGGCAGGTGCATTTCAGCCACAGGAGGGCCGCTGCTTGGCTGCACAGAGCCTTTCCAGACACCTCTATACTTCAGAACAGACGCAAAATAGCAAACAGCAAGGAAACGTTACATTAGAAATGGCCAAAAGTAGTTTTGACCTGTTTCACCAAAGCGAGTGTCACAGGGTTAAAGGCTTTGACCATATAGCAATGAACCATAAAATCATCTCCAAAACCCAATCTATTGTTTATAACTGAGGCTAGAGACCCATCAAAGGTTGCAAAGTGATATTTGACAGTGAAGACTTTTGCAGTATCATTTGTTTGGCGTTTTAAGAGTGAACATATATATTATAAATGTTTCCTTTCCTTTGTTTTTATTGCCTTCCCATACTATTTTTTTATGAGTTTGGAAGAAAAACTTCAGAAAAATACGATAAGAGTCAATAAATTTTTTGAAGAGAGTTTAATGGCACCATTAAGATTTCTTAAATAAAACATTGTCTCTTGCTACAGACATGGCTATTTTTCCAGACTGGGATGGAAGAGAAAACAAACGTACCACATGCACCATGATACCAGCAACAGCAGAGAGCACAAACATCTTATGGATGCAGCAAATGAGGCTGGGTGGGTAAGTAACCAAAAAACCAAAAGTTGCAACTAAAACCAAAGTTGCACCGCTACTGTTAGTAAGTGGTACAGCTTGATTCCAGCTTTTCTAACTCTAAATTATTACAATGCATATGTCCAACAGATTTGCATTGGGTTCCAAGTTATTTCTTACTTCATATATAGGATTGTGCTAGTCTTAGTCGAGTCCTACACTACGAGACAAATCTATAATCTTAAGAGGCTTGTACTTTTGTCAGGGAAATAACAAATGTTTAAACAAAAACTCTTCAATATGCAGGGCAATGAACAATACGTAATAACAACAGGAATTCTACCCAGGAAGGTGGAGGAGAGACTTAAAGGACTAGATTTGTCATTTTAATCAAGGTAGGCTCATGCTTTGGCCCAGATCATCTATTTTTTGAAATATAAAACATGCTGTCGTTGTGCCAGGACACGCAGGCCCGTTTGAGCACAGAGGACAAAGCATTTGTGAGAAGGTTGCAGCTCCGCAGTTTCAGAAGGGACTGATGTGATAGAAAAGGCTCCATAGGAAAGGTGCAGCCTCGTTGCCCCATGAAGGAACTCTGAGATGATTTCCAGGTCTCAGAGGCACTTCCCAGAAAGGGGCGGAGCACAGTATGCGTGAAGTGTGAACGGAAGATCCCTAGTGTATTGCCTTACTGGGGACTAGGTTTTCTGCAGAAGTGGTGCAAAAGAAGACTAGAAATGTGTTGTGCACCATGGAACACTGGGCAGAAGAGGGGGACGACCTGCAGGGGAAAGGGCAGGCACCCAAGCTGTCTTACAGGATGGGCTGGCATTGGCTCTGTCCACACGGTCAAATTTTATCTGAGATTTGTCCTCAAAAACTCTTCTTTTATTATCAATCTCCAAAGCCAAATGAATACAGAATAATTATCTGAAAAACAGGCAATAAAAATTGGGGAATCATTTCCTTAACAGCAGGATATTTCCTGAGGTTAAAAAACATATTAGTTATTTCCTTTATTATTTTTAATACCTTACTAAATGCCTGGTAGTTTTTGAAGGATCAGAAATGAACTTTGATCTTTAGTCATTATTCTTACCTTTGAAACGTACACAATAAGAACAATTTCAACTTCTGAGTTATAGGAATGAACATCCTTAATAAAATTATATGGCACTTTCTTTGATATCTGATTTCTATTTGTGTTTATTGTCTTTCTTTTGACTTACTATTACTGACTGCTTTTAAAAAGCAGGTTGTAGAGAGTTTTTTCATTCTTAAATACATAGAAAACCACCAAATAAATAATTTATCTAGACACTTATTATATAGGAACAGGAGCATATATAGTTAAGTACTAATCAGCAAGGCTAGTAAATCAATTGTGAGCACTTCAGGAAGCAATAGCAGGATTTGGGGACCCAGCTCAATGGTAGAGCAGTTGCCTAGCAGGAATGAGGCCCTTTTATTCAATCTCCAGCACTGCACACAAGCGTGTACCCCCCACCTCCCAGGAGCAATAGTAAGAACTGTAAAATATTCTGTTTGTAATTCCAATATCTTATTTTCCCCCTAACTCTCATGGCTATAAATGTAAGCAGTTAGGGTGCTCTGCTTATAAAGTCCTCTTAACCTATATGCTCCCTGTTAATAACTTGGTGTGGAATGTGTGGTTTTCTCTCCTTTCAGGAGTTATGTACAGATCTTGCTAAAGTTATTTTCATTTTTATTCTTTGAAGATCCATATGGTGGTATAATGAAGTATGTAGACAGTTAAAGAAATGCCAAGTCATTGAAATCACTGAAGTCAGTCAAACAAGGACTGACTTAAGACATAGTTTTAGCCTACTATCATTATGTAAATCTTGCTGAAGGAAAAGATACATGTACAAGAAGTAGTGAAGTGACTTTGCAGATTAGAATGCCAAAATTTATAACTATGATGCACAAAATGTTATAGGAATTCAGAGAGGGAGGAAGGCTAGTGGGGGCACAAGTATTCTAGACATCTGGTCATGGAGGTAAAAGGGGACCTTCTGGAGGTGTGAAAAGAGGGAGAAGCTTGGATCTGGCTTGCATAGGGGAAGCTACGGAGGACAGTGGATCATCTGAAAAAAAGGGTAAAGACTGAAGTCACACTATAGTCAGACTTGAAGTCTGGAATGAGATATATTGGGATGGGAGTGACCTTGATGAACTGGGTGTCTAAAGCTCACGATATGGAACAACATTTATTCTTTCTGCTCATTCACTGAACAAAGTGTATTTGACTCCCAATATTTTCTGAACGTGCTGTCGAGTGTTGGGTATACAGGATTTTGCAGGAAAGAGAGACTGCAATAAAGAAAATTATGAGGTGAATGTAACTGTTTAGATATCAGAAACTGAGGGTTCTTATTGGAATATGGTAATGCAAATTTTCGGTAGTTTAAAAAAATTTTTTATTTTTATTAGTCCATATTTGTGGTACATAATGATTACATTCATTTGAGGAATTGGCACATGCACATAATACATCTTAATTTTGCTTATATCTCCTTTCCCACCCTTCAATGATAGCTTTTTATGTGACAAATATTATTGAGTGTCTACTATGAGGAAGGTACTATTTTAGATGCTAAGGTTATATGACTGAGGTTAAAATCACTGAGGTCATGGAAGAAATGCCTGGGTGGGCTGGGGAAGCAGAAAAGGGTGAAATACCAGAGGCTGTGGGAAATAACATACAGACATTTTCATTGACTGACTTGTCATATATTATGAAGATTCAGAAATTAGGTGCAATCCCCAAATAACATAAAAGATATTTTTAAATGGAGCATTTTTCCTCCTAGGTTTATGAGTCAGTAATCCCAGTGACAATAAAATAGAGCCATAAAGAAGGGGATAAGATGAAGTGTGGAAGGAAGAGAACTTTCAGTGTCTCACTAATGCTCATCATTGTCATCAGATACACAATTTTTTTACAAGACAATAAAACGCTCAAGTCCTTGAGAAAGGCAGTTGCTGTAGGGGTGGGGCAGGGATGAGACAGTTAAGACATATCTTTTCAGGGAATGAAGCTGCTGAGTTGCTTTTCACTCCTAGCCTTGACCCTTTGTGAATTGTCAGAAAAAGTAGTGTCATAAACGAAGGGAAGCCAACTTCAGCGAGATGGACAACGCGCTAGACTTAGAGTTAAAATGTCTCTCTTTTGGGAATATACATCTTGCCTTTGGAAGAGTGGTGTATTTTGTCTGGGAAATACATTCACATAAAATATCGGGATCCTGTTTATGTAAATTAGACACGTGAAAATACAGGCACTCACATGTGTGCACAGGCATGCACTACACACAGGCAGAGCTACACTGTTGGCCCTTTGGTAAATGGCATCATGATTTTAAGTCCAAGGATTTTATGGAAATTCAGCAAAGTATGCAGTGGGGCCCCAGATAAATGTTTGTTTAGCCAAAAGGTATTTGGAGTGAGCAGCAAGGTATAATTGTAAGTTGGGAGCTGGCAGATATGTATGAAACTAATGCATATGTTCTTTTTAAAATTTATTTAATTTTTTATTAGTACATGTTTTTAGTACATAGTGTTTACATTCCTTGTGGGAATTGGTGTATGTACATGATACAAGTGTGTAACACATCTTAATTCCTTTTTCTATCCCCGATCTCTCCTCTTCCTCCCTGCTCTCTCCATTTCTTGATCTCCTTCTCTTTTGAGAAACTTCTGTCTCCCTGCATCCTACTATCTATCTTTTATTTTGATACTTATTATACTTTGGGTTTATCATGTGAGAAACCACCACTGCATGTTTTCTGAGTTATGAAGTAATACATTGTGGGCCAAATGATTATTTGAAAAGCAGTAAGAACACTTTTCTAGGTGGCATGGAAAGGAATAAAGACACTTTTATCTTTTTAAGACTTAGCATGAAAAAAAAAGACTTGTCATGCCTTAAAATATCCATTATTCCATAAAAATTCACCCAAAGCTATTTATGAGGCTTGGAGAAGGAGAGAAAAAACGAACAGAAGAAGGCTTTGAGAAGTACCAAATGATTATACAAATAGTAAACACTGTAGGAGTTTAGAGTAGGTAGTGAATACTAAGAAATAACTAAACAATGAAATAATTTCTGTTGTGCCCAGATTGCGAAGTCCCAAAGACCACCAGGAAGCCGTTCCCGATGCAAGCACATGAGGGTCGTTTATTCAAGCTCGAGAAGGGGCTCTCAACCATCACCGATGCAGCGGATCAGAATTGAGAGCCCCGAATTTTAAATTAGCGGGGTTTTTACAGAGGTTACAGCAAGGTTTGGAGATTTTTCACTTAGCAGTTACATGATTGGTTGACAATTAGCAAGCATGAAGTGTACATTTTTGATTGGCTAGGTACATGGGGGGTTGAGGGGTGGTTACATGTAGGCTTTACGAGGGAAAAGAGGGACAAAGGTTAGTGGTCGACTGTCACGTACTGATGGTCAGCAGATCTACGGATTGTTTTATGGATAGTGGGCCCGGAACATTCATTTCCTGGGCAAACAGATGGCTGAGTAATTAACTCAGGAACTTTGCTTCATTACAGATTGTATCTTTTGTCCCAGAGCAAGCACATTTTAACCATTAATTTGTGAGAGACTAGGGGAATAGTG